TGTTCACTTACTCTGCATTTTGTAAATTGATAAACATAAACAATTACAATATTTATTTTTGAAAGCATTCTTACTTTACAGCATTTTTTCACTCCTGCCTAAAACTTTTGCACAGTACTGTATATAAATACATACATATATAGAAGCTCTCCTAATTAAATACTTAATAAAGCCAAACAGAGCTCTTGTGGGTCTTTTCCAGGTTAAGATGTGGAATCTAGTCAAATCAGTTGTTAGAAAAGAAGAAAGGTAATTGATCACTTAAGTCATTTATTTGTACTTGTGGTTTCAGTCATGCTTCTATTATTTGAGTTGGACAACTTGGTGGATAAGGTTTAGCAGTGAAGCAGAAGTGCATGGAAGTCTTACAGATGAAAGGAATATGCTCTTAGGATGTCTTTGCCATCAGTTCCAGCCACTATTCCAACAATGCTGACATCATCACATGCCACAGATTTGAAGCCACTATGAGTGAAAAATTTGTGTGAGTACTATGTTAAATAACAAGTCACATTAAAGCAATTCAATATGGAAAGTACAAGAAATCAAATGGTCCCAGATTCTACATGGAATAGAATATTTCACTGCAGGCTGAGATATAGTCCAAGGCCTATATCAGTTGGGTCACTGCATGACACACTGTAGTTGATTAATTCTGTTATTTGCAGTTGGAAAGTTTATCCTTGAGTTTTATGCTTCAATTTCCAGATAGAAATTCTTGTAATTATGGAAAAAAGAAAATGTTAATAATAGAAAGATTATTTGACATATCAAGCCTATTCTCAACCTTGTTTCCAATGCTTGGACAAGTTGGTGAGTAGATATCACCATAAGGAAAAGAAAAGCAGCCCTCCCACACCTTGTCTGAGATATATAATAAGAAATTGAACATTTTTAATTTGCCTTTTAAAGAGAATGCCAGTGGTTAACAATCAGCAGGAAGAAGCAAATCAGGTTAAATATTCTCTAAATCACCCTGAAATTTTCAGTTGAGGTTAGAAAGCTGGATAAGAAAGGAAAAGTTTCAACACAGCATGCAACAATTTGGGGAGAGGGGGAATTTCTCTGTGCAAAAAGCCTGCATGAATACATAAAAGACTCCTCTGCTACATCTTAAATAGGCAAGTTCAGGCAGGAGAAACTGTCAACTAGTTATTCTAGAGTCCTAAACAAGATAAAATTGCCCGTGGGTGCTCAATACCACATTCACATTTGAAAAATACTAAATGCAATATCTTGAAACTTTGACACCCTATCACCAAACCATCAAAATGCCAGCAAACCATAAAACAGTCTTTAAAAGATGAGACTTACCTTGACCATCTGTGAGATCCTCCCAATAAATGATAGCAACTGGTCAACAAAGAGGATTTGTTGTCATTTTTCCAGGAGTATACACGGAGTGAAAGGTCCATGGAGGATGTCACAACATGAAAAGGATCCTGGGGTAGGATGGAGTGATGGAAACAAGAAGTTGTTTAGTTAAATATCCCTAGTATGTGTACAGAGCAGAAAATAATGGCTACTCAGAGGCTTTTTTTTAGCAAAATAGGCTAAAAATGTTTTCTAGTAAAGAGGAAGAGTGACTATACCACCCAAATGGATGTAATAATCTTATGGTGATCCTCGAAAGCCATCAGTACAGTCCCGCTCAGAGAGTATACTGTCAGTTTTGGTCCAGCTGCTATAAGAAGAGTTTGTTTGCCAAATCCTTTCATAATTATCATCTCTTGGGCTGGCAGTGTGAAGCTTGCAACCTGTTGAGCTTTTGCATAAAAAGAATGCACACTTATTTCTGTATCACATTAACTATTGAAATTTCTATTTCACCCAAATGTCCTTTGGTCATATTGATTAAGAGTTCTGAGAATTGCAGTTGTAACACTGCTATCGATTATCAGGATGGGAAGACAATTTCACTTGATAACATTAATTGAGCTCCCTCTGACACAGCATGAGCAATGGGATTTCTCTATTCCTCCAGATACATCCCAGTGGCTACCGACCACCAGGTTATCTATACTTGGGGCATGGGGCTGTAGGGAGAATCCATACTACCAGTTGGGTCTGTATCACAGGCAGTTAGGCAACCATTAGTAAGTAATTATGGGCTTACCTTAACTGAAAGCAAAGAAGAGAGAAATTGAAGGAAAAGAAAAAGATTAACCAAGGACAGGACACCCTAGTAAAGACTAAATAATTGCAAGTCATTGGTATCTGTATATTTTGAGTCATCTAGGCAATTCAACCAACCAATATCAGCCATGGTTTTTTTTTACCTCTTTATTCTTACTAGCATACGTTCTAGATTGCCAACTATTAATTTTTGTAAATCTCCGAGGAGACTTTGTGGTAGCAAAGCAGGGTATGAGTATTTTAAATAACACAGAATGGTCTACTCAAAAGGAATTAAAGGCTCTAGATTTGCCACATCAAGGCAGAACATCAAGTAGAGCAAGTCATTTTAGAAGATTATGCAATGTAAGAAAGTATTACTCTTTCGAAAAGCTGTCAGAAAGGATTTTCCCCACAGTGTATTATTCGGAGATTAGAAGTAGCACCTGTTAATATTGAATATTTGGCATAAATGATTTTGAAGAATAGTTACCACTTCAGAATATTTTCCCGATTATTATCAAATAAAAGATTAAATAATGTAAAATTATTGATCGGGCAATACATGTATTGAGGCCAAGCAAATATATATAGAAAAGCTTTTGATGTGTGCTATTTGGATATATTTGGCCTTAATAATATTAGTGCCTGACAGTACATTTTGTACTTTTTATTCCATTATGGTCCAGCACATTTGAAGTAACACAACGGCACATCTAAATTTACACAATGGCTTGATGAAACCTACCTGTAACATTCTTTTTATATTTAGACTTCTCAATTACTATATCAAAGCTAACAATGTGAAACATCCTCTCGTTTTTGTGCAAAATGGTAATTCTTGCTGATTCTGCTGGTAACCAGCACATCACATGACAATTTGTGATTGGTAAAGGACTAGATAGCATCAATTCATCATCTTCTGGGTGAGTTGCACAATGTGTGTAAAATACCTGATATGCAAAAAAGAAAATCATACCAATAAGCTGGGATCCAAAAATTCAAATTATAGTTTTAAAAATCTCAGTGTAACTTTGGAACTTTATTCAAATGTTTATGTGAATGTATTAAGCTTTCTGATCCCAACTAAGGACGTTGATTCATCTCAGTATTGTCTATCCCTGAGATAAAAGAATTTGGCGTATCTCCATTCAGCTCTAGCTAGCATGGCCAATGGGAATTATGGTTCAAACACTTGGGAAAGCACTAGGTTACCAACTGCTGGCTTATATTGCCTGGCAGCAACTTTCCAAGAAATTCTTCCTAACCCTCTCTGAAATGCTGGGGGTTGAGCTTTTGATCTGCATGTAACCTGTACCTTCTCTTACTGAACCATCTTATTTGCATTGCAAAGCTCCATGCTGTATCAAAAATGACTTTTGAAACTTGTTCCCATTTGAGAAATGCAAACCTTACTATAAAATCAGAAGTACAGTTCTTTGAACCTACAGCTGAAACTTTGATATACAAGAACTATATAGGCAGATTACTGATTCGTTAGAAAAATCTGAAGGTAATAGTGACACCTTAGACAAATTTTGAGTTCTCCGGAGGTCTTCTTTAACAACTTGTTAAAGATGGGCAAAGAATAAAAATGGAGCAAACACAAATGTTTATTTCATTTTACTCATTTAATAAGTCATAGCCAAAACTCTCAGGATGACACACAAAGTAACACAATACAGTAAAACCAATAAATTTATCACTGTAACTGTCCTCACTCCATACTAGATGAGGTTAATTTTGTGACTGCATTTCACAAAATTTTTCCCAGAAATAACAGCTTGGTAGAAGAAGCAGCAATCAGATTCAGAATGGTGATAATGTGAAGGAAACATAGATTTTAATTATTACAGCCATTTCAAAATCCACCAAGACTGCCCCATGTCTGAAAGATCATAGAATCAAAGAACGTAAGAGTTGCAAGGGACGTAGTAAGTCATCAAGCCCATACCACTGCAGGAATCCACTACTGTAGTAACCAGGACAAATGGGTATCCACCTTTTCCTTAAACACCTCCAGCGAAGGAAGGTCTGCTTCCCCGCTCCCAAGGCAGCCTTGAGATGAACACTCCACCTCTTAATTTTTAAGACATTTTCCTTTATGACCACTTGAAATCTATTCCTTGCAATTCTTGCCTAGTCTTCTGAAACAATTACGAACAATTTTGCCCTGCTTGGCTGAAATGCCACTGGCTTAAACTAGATCTCAAAAGACATTTAATAGTAACTAGACAACTGTCTGACCGGTTGGGTCATCCTTTGAGAGAAAGTTAGTGGAGTCTGATGTGACCAGAATGAACATTACCATATTTTTCCGTCAATAAGACGCCCCCATGTACAAGACGCCCCCCACTTTTCCAACCCAAAATTAAGAAATCAATATTTTAAAGATAGTGCAGGAT